GGTTTTCACAGGCTCATAGTCGGACTTCATATTTACTTCGTCAACATCATTATGATGCATGTTTTGGATGAACGGATGTTCAAATGTGTTAGTCATCTCGGTTTTGTACTGCAATATCGTATGAACATCTGGCAATCGAAACTACCAGTTCGATTACATATCTCACCTGGCCGTCGTTTACCATTTCAGTGACCTCTATTCAGTCGGACCTCGAATGAAACATCGACGTGGTACTCCCAACACCTACCGAAACTGAGGTGGCTTAAAACAAGATGCAGCTTCATTGCCAAAGGGAGCGGCTTTACAGGTATTTAGGCACGGTGGTAGAGGATAAAAAGTTAAATCAACTGAAGCGTTAACTAGTCTATTTGAGGCAAATATGCTCCAACCACTGGTTGTACCAGTCTGCATGAAAGGTGAGTTCTGTTCTCACAACCTGAGTAATCGGCGTGACGAACAAAATGTCTCAGATTGTCGGTCCTATAATCCATGGACGTCTAATTGGAGCTTGGGAATGCCAAACGTGAGTGTATCAACAGGATATTCACCGTCTGCCAGGTTCTGGAACATTGGCACACCTAAATACCCCCGAGACTTGCAATACTTGTCGATGTGAAGATGGTATTCAACTCCATCGATCGAGAGTTCTTCCGACAATGTCTGTTACTGAAAGGGATACTGGGGAAGTGCATCAGTCAGTTGAAGGCCTTATATTCTGTCACCCGTGAACTTACAAGAGCCTGATGTGTGGTATCATGTGAGTTGTGTACATCGAGTGGATTCGGTGACGGATTTCTACGCTCTCCATTCTTATTCAACTTTACCATGGGCATACTTATTGAGGTGTCTCTAGTTCATGCAGATCACATTGTCTCACCAGGTGAAGACGCTGACTAGATACAAAGTCTTCCGGTCACCATGTGTGGTGTTTTGAGAATGGGATACATTACTCGCCACCCAAATGGAAACTTGCTTCAGAACGTCGTCATTAGTGTTCTGTCTCAGTATAGCAAGTTAGTGAAGTAGTTGGTCGCGTCGACGACTTGACTTGCCTAGCAATTTGGATCAGTCCTTAGAGGTCAGTGACCGATGAAGTCTCTGCACGGATACAAACGCTCATACCGAATAATCAATTAAGGGTCGAGTGTACTGATCTTCAGTTCGCTCTTTCTTATAATGCTGTGGAACATGGCTATTAGAGGTAGAGAATATGAAAAATTTTCAGGTGTTTGACGACCGTTGCATTCGTAACTTAGGTTGTTTGTTGTTGTGTTACCACGTCAGTTGCATGAAAGTCAGGTGTAGGGTTTAAAGCAAAAGCCCAATGTCAGTTGATGAGGTTGTGAACCTTCATCAGCTCAGGTAACTAGGACGTGCGTAACGTGCTTGTTACCGTCAGCTTCGTCCTACAATCTTAGCTTAAGTGGGTTTACTCTGGAGAAACGTTAATTGCGGTCAGACTAAGACACGGTATCAGTGCATGAAATCCTTGTCTGTTGGTCTGAGCCACATAGGGAAATGCAGAAGTCCCAGTTGTAGTGGACGTGACAGCAGAAACCAGGGGTTGGAGACGAGCTAATATAGTTCAGAAGCGCTGTCAATGGTGCAGATGTATCCACACCGCATTTTCATCCTAATCGTCATGCTGAATTCAGGACTTTCTCATTCTTCCTTGCTCTTCTGATGTATTTCTACCATTCTGACTGCCTTCTCTATATCTTTGTCTTTCATTTTAGTGCTTTGTCGCCTGATGTGCGGACATGGTGTGGCAATTTGGATCGTTGCACAGTAACCCTTCGTCTCAAGTTGATCTACGTGTAGTCAAAGAACTTACGCAATTGAAGAAGTATTGCTAACAAAATATGTCAGTACTAAAAGGTGGCCACGTAGTGAATGGAAGAACCGTCATCGTATCAGCCTGCTGCCAGCTGTATCCAAAATATAAGCTGGCGTCATATTTGATTTCTGGTGGTCTCACCAAGATTCCAGTCACTGGAGTCAGAGCCTACACAGCTGTGCTCGATAGTCAGCAAGTTCGTAGGACGGTATCGTGTCTTGGTGTGACAACCTTTAGCTTTCTTTCAACCGAATTATACTCCAGTAAACATTTCTAAGTTAGAAATGATGTGTTGCCCATCTAACGTTTTACAGTCAGGTTAACATTTTTTTAGTATCGAAGGCAATGCAGATTGGCGTGAACCACTGTGGCTTCTGACATTTAACCACGAATCCTATCAGTAGCCTTTCGATCGATTGAGCGAAATGTTACATTAAGGTAAGGTGAGGTTCTCAATGATTTTATTTCCGTGCAGATATGTGTTTAGTAGTGTCGACGGTTGAGAATATGATCGCTGCACCTCATTCATACTCGCGAGTCATATCTGGTTTATTCAAGTTCTAGTCGTGCGTCCACTATCTATGGAGCCAAGAACTGTAGACACTATCAGACTTGTTATCCTTTGTTTATTAAAGGAACATTTGACTCAATTCTTGTAGACCATAAAGCGAAATCACCTGAACCCGTTTGGTCGGATCATTTCCGATTCCATTACACGCGCAAGTACCGTAGTTATTGTAGCCAGTAATTTGGGAAGGAGAATGTCATATGTTGATGCTTTTTTCTTCGATAACTTAGAACTTTTCTTGGCTCCAACTGGAGTTAGTTTTTTTGTTTATCGGGTCTTTTGTTTGGTTTACCTATTTAATGTTTTACTGGACTCCAATTTGCTACTTTATGACTGCTTGGGAATTATCTTTTAGATTTCAGGAGACATTTTCAACGGATTTGTGGTAACAGGGCTAAACGTGGCACGTAGGTAACAAGCTAAACGGTTTGGCTCTTCCATTTGTAGCAGGCCGCTTTTTTGTTACCATTCCAACCACAAAGTATGTGAAGTTTCCATAGAGAAACTGATTTAAACGACATGTGAATCAGACTTGATCCAAGAAAGGTTTGAGTTATTGTCTTACCACCTTTCCAACTATTTGAGAAACCAGTGATACAGATTTTAACAAAAGCAGACCCTCACCTAAACAATATTTTTCAACGATGAGTAGTCGTAAGTGAGCAGATTAGAGATATTAATTCATGTTCTCGTAATGATTAGTTTTCAGAGGCGGCACATTAAAAATATTTAAGCATTTTCTACCACTTCTCTGTCATATCTAGTTTATCACATTTTTCTTATGATTCGCACTCAACACATTGTATTATCTTTGGGAACTTCACTCAGGTTATAACATTTCATTTTTTAGGGAGGTCATCTATAGACGACTTAAACCAGATTTCCTTTAAATAAATTGGCACGGTGAGATGTTTCAGCCTGACTTTATTCGACTGCAATTTGAACATGCGATTTCAAAAGCGTCTTCAATCTTTCTAATGTCCTTAATACTGTTGATTCTCACTTAGCGTGAAGACAACAGCTGACAGCAAAACTGCCAGGTTCCCGAAAAGCAGTCAAAAGTTCAGACAAACATTCATTTTTAATATCAACAGTAATTATATCATTGGGTAAAAAAGTAAAATATTTCAAATATTATTTACATATATATGTTGAAGCCGCCAATCTGAGTCAAGGTATTCACTTTCTCGTCTGTTTCTGTCACCACTCTTACTTTGCAATAACAAATCATGTTTTCTTTTTCAGAACTTCTGATTCCGTTCGTGTTACCACTCGATAGATGAGGCACCACTAAAAACGAGCATATTCATTTCAAGTGTTAGAAGCCGATTCCCTCACCACTCATGGCCAGTCTTTTGTAATTTCTGAAGATTGGTCATTATTCACAAATTTCTTAAACCATAAAGTAAAATATGTGTTACTTGCTTTCAAAACTTTTGTTCTGTAAATAATCATCGACTCATCTACTATCAATCACGGTTACCTATTCGTTTTTTCAGACGATTATCAGAATCACCTTCCACACTTAAATGTTTATTAGTTTTCAAGGAAACTATTGTGTTAATTATTGGGATTATTTCTGCAACATCAGCACTTTCAGGTGTTCCATATTATTTCCAAGTTTTGAGCAATATCTGTATTCTTTAGGAGTGCTAAGGTAACAATTCTCTTAAAGATTGCAATTATAATCACAATTTATTTGAATATGAATACTGACTTTTCTTACTTAGATTTGGTTCGGTTACCACACACTTATTTACCTGCACCTATCTGTTTAACTTATTTTTAAAAAAAGGCTTGGTATACATTAGGTAGGGTCCTGCGAAGTCATAATGCCTTGATGAGGCAGTTTTCACTGATTGCCACATAGTCCTATTGATAGTCTTCGGTGCATTGTTTGTGTTCATAATTTAATCTATGTAGCCAAATTAAAGTCACCAATAGTTGTCTTAAGACACTTGCCTATTAAGATCATGTGTGAAGATCTTTTGTTACAACATTTACAGTCTTTCCTTCGAGGTTATGGACTAATAAATCTAATCGCACCTTTTTATCCTGGTCATTTTGCCGATTTTACTGATGTTTTCTCATCGGAGATTAAAGATCAAAAACCTGTTTTTGGGTAACACTTTCATGAGCCCTTATCTTTGTCGACACAGTTTTTAGCTTGAGTAACTGAAGTGAGAGTTGTAGTGTACCAGGCATGATTCTTCCCGACGTATTGACTTTTTAGTTGTAGCAGTTTGTGAAAATACGAAGACTGACATGGTAACACTACGGCACAACCAATAGTGCTACACCCGACTCAATAGGCACCTGGATATCACGATGGTACCATAAGTAACGCATGCTGGCGGAAACCAATCAAACCTTATGCACCCGTACGGGGATTTCGTCGGTCACTGAACCACTGATCCAACTTAACAGGTAAATGAACTAATACACGCGCTCAAGCTATGCACTCCATATTGTTAGATGCCACCACTGAAGACTAGTCCTAGAGCAACAATTTGCTTTTCAGTGACGACAAAACACCGAAAATTCTGTATGTATCCCGAAAACTCCATCCTGTGAGCGTCTTCACCTATCACGGCAGACAGAATGAATCAACAACAAACCTTGCACATAAGTGCATCGGTCCAAGTTGCCACACCACGGTGGCATAAATAGAACAGATATCAAAGTGGAAAAAGGCCGTATGAGAGGAGGTATTAGAAAACAAAGGTTGATTAAATTATCCAACCTTTGGAAGACGCCAAAGAGTAAATGTATCAGCGCCATTGTGACATATTCAGTCATGTTACCGAGAGTCTGTAACCATTATTCCCTATCATTTGCGCACCCTAACCAGACAGTCAACACTTCATTATGCGGTTCACACCAAAAGTCAGAAACACCAGGCAGTAGTGCCACGTACTGATCTAGACACATTGAGCCTACTTCCAGCATCTGCTGGCAATACATATAGAGAGAGCCAGTGCTTCGGCGGGCCCAATAAATCTAAAAGTCAACTCAGTAGCTGGAGGCTCACAGACCAACTTGCAGCCTTGAGTAATACCCTTCACCTAACCTCAATATTGCTCACACGTTTCCATCACACGCAAGCAATGCTATGAGGCACTTGTGATCAGAATCCTGTAATCGCTTCATGTCTCTTACTCTTAACGCCCTTAACTCACAGACGCATAACAGGACAGAACGAACTATAGCGCAGTATACCAGTTCCACTATAGGTAGTCAGATTTCACGTCAGTCCGACCCTCTGTACCCAACTGAGAATCCGTCAGAAACCAGCCGGCTGGTGCTGATGCAACTCCCCAAGTAAGTGAAGTGGTTGATACATTTCACCACTTCACTCCTTATCATCAAACTACGAGTGGTCGCAGCATCATCCTACATTTAACCGGTTCAAGACGCATACCAAACATACTCAGATTTCTGCCCAACGTGTTCACAAGGCCCTGCATTTTGTCAGCGTCTTCACCTAGCAGGACAGTATCGTCTGCATACTCTAACCCAACCAGATGACCTCCAGGGAGTAGGTCAACCCCTGTGAAGTCAGACGTACCTGAGGTTATATCCATCACCACATGTACAACAAAGGTAAATAGAAACCGTGACAGTGGGCATCCCTTGAGGACACCACTAGGTGTCGTCAACTCTGATGACAACTCCCCATAAGCCGTTACACAGCTGCATGACTTCGAGTGGGGAGCTTGGATAAGCATTACATACTTCCTCGGTACTCCGTTCAGTCAAATACTGCCACAACACCTCACGGTCGACACAGTGAAATGCTGCCTTCAGGTCGAGAAATATGTCATGTGTTCCGGGATCTGAAAATCGCGTGCTGTTCTCAAGTTACAGTTAGGCGTCGGATAACTGTGGATTGTAGGGTCTTGGACACAGTATTGGTTAAACAAATCCCCTCATAGTTGTCGCAGGAAGACTTCTCTCCCTTCATATTGGGCTGGAATGATCAGAGAAGTGGATCAGACTGGCGGCACTACCTGATTCCCCTACACTACCTAGTACATCCCTCACTGATCAGCAATTCTCTACCTCCATCCTTCAAAACTGCAGGCGTAAAAGTGTCAGATCCCGCTGCTTTTCATTGTTTCAACTTCAATACAGCCTCTTCCACTTCAAGGAGGGTAGGTGAGCCGACATCTGCGTGGCTTCCATGTTCTAAATAATGGATGCTGGATAACCGAAGGGTCGTTGAAAGCCACTGGAACTGTGCTTCGAAGTGTTCCTCCCAAAGTTCTAGCCGTATGTACTGACAGGTTGCCAGCGTCCTATCCTTTTCGGTGATGGTTTCACTAACCATCGTTTTCTTCTTTCCGGTATCCTTAATGAGCCTAAGCAGTTGCCCAGTGTTACCCAATGCTGGTGTTTTCTCCATCTTTATCACTCTCGCTACCCACCACTGCTCTCGTTCGTTGATAAGAATTGTCCTCTGGGCTCTAAGTGGGACAGAGGGCTTCAGTAACACGTCGGGATTTCACTCTTTTCTCTGCAATCTTTTCCACCTGTGAGGAGCGAGAAGAGAGGCATGCGCTGTTTGACCGATGAAAAGACCCTAGAAGAAAAGACGAGCCGTAGGAGTAACAATTTGCATTTTGGTGGCGACAAAACACTGCCCAGAAGCCTTCATTTCTTCCTCGCACCATCTCCTCCATGTCACCCTCACCTCGGATACTCAACTCGTCACTTCCGATTTGGGTTCCCCTCGACGGCCTGACGCGTGATGTCCCCAAACCGTCCTCTCAGTGTATGCCCTTTTCAATCCATCTCCACTTTGTTCTGCATATTTGTTGGAGGCTAGGTTCTTGGTTGGTTCTTTGCCAGCCAGCCAGACTTCCTTGTTGCTTACTCTTATCATTCTGGCCATCCGATCTCCATCTTCAGTGTTAGTATCGCGTGAGCGTAGGCAGCAGTTGTTGATGATGAATGTCTGTAGTTTGTTTGAAATGCTTTTCGTAACGCGCCAAGTCTCTCAGGCATAGAAGCACTGACTTACTTGACTGATATTAGTATTGGAAATCGATCTTGTTCACGTTTTATGCTGAGTGCAGTAGATCTCCACACTGATTTCGGATCAATACAGGAGGACCTGTCTTGCTGTCTTTCCGATCCTGGCTTTCACGTCTTCATCTGTGCATGTGCCGCCGTCTGTAGTCGAAACAAGGCTGTTTAGGTAGGTATAAGACACTACTTCCTTTAGATTTCTCCTGCTGTTGTTTATTGGCTCTTGTTGTTGTTGGTTGAGTATCTTCATCACCTCTGTCTTCTCTACCTTCACTTGAAGTCCCAACTTTGCTGCCTCGCCTCACCTACTAACTTGATAGTTTTTGCCTGTACATCTTCGAGTATGTGCGTCATCAGACATAAATCATCGGCGAAATCCAAATCTTCTAGGGTCTTTTCGTCGGTCAAACAGCGCATGCCCCTCTTCTCGCTCCTCACAGTTAGTTGCATGGCCCACAACAGTCCAGTCTACCACAATCAGGAAGATGATCGGTGATAGTAGGCAGCCTTGTTTTACTCCTGCTTGTCTTCACTTCAAAAGCATCACTGAGCTTCCCATTGTGAATTACTTGGCATGTGGCGTCTTCATATAGTTGTTGAATGAGATTGATAAAGTTTTGTGGCACTGAAACTGTAGTGTAGAAGCAGCAGCTGCCAAATTACTTCTCGGTCGACACTGTCGAAGGCCTTTTCAAAGTCGATGAAGTTGAGGTAAGGCGTTGACTGTCATTCTATGCTCTGTTCTATGATGATGCGTAGCGTTGCAATTCGACCCGCACCCGTTTTGTTCTTCCTGAATCCAGCCAGGCAGCCTGTTTTGTTTGCATCCAGTTGGATCTAGAGCATGTTTCAGTCTCCAGGATGATACGGTTTAATATTTTGCTTGGTTTCGACAGCAATATGATTCTCCATCAGTTCTTGCAACCACTTATATGACCCTGCTTTAGAGGTTTGACCAGGTACCCATTCATCCAATCAACAAGTAGGTGCCTTTCCTTCCTTCCAAACCTTCTGCAATAGTGATGTGAGCATATCCGCTGCTGATGTCTCTGCGTCTGTTTTCAGTGCTTCTGGAGGAATTCCATCTGGTTCTAATGCTTTCCCGGATTTCAGCAACTTCATGGCGTTCACGACTTCACTTCTGTTTTTGTCGCAGGGCCTGTGTTCACTGGTAGTTCTGCCGTTGCTGGTGGTGTTTCTGGACGAGTTGCAGTTGGTGGTGGTGGTCGATTCAAGAGTATTTGGAGTGGCCAGCCCATTGTTTCCTTTGTTTCTCCTCTTTGGTGATTAGATTCCCTTCATCATCTTTTATTGGTTTCATCTGCGTTGATCTCTCCCCTCCCAGATAGTAACCTGGTTATTCGATACAATGTTGTCAGGTCTCTATCTCTCCTACCTGCAGCCTGTTCTGCTTCACTTGCCAGTATGTCGTGGAAGTGTCTTTTGTCTTTGCGCACACTCTTCTTCACTTCTTTGTCCAGTGTGTGTAGTGTTTTATAGGTTGTACTCAGTTCCTCTTTTCGTTGTTCATCCCTGCATTACACTCCACTGCACTGGTTTATCTTCTGCTTCACCATCTTCATCTCCCTCTTCATCAGCTTCCATGTGTCTGTTGAGATCCATTCCTTGTCCTGACTTCTTTCTTCTTCCTTCCTAACACGGTTATGCAGGTCTCCTCTCCTTCCACGTCGCCTTCACAGGGTTCCAGTGTTCTTGCTCCACGCGGGTTTCCTGAGGGATGTTGCTCGATATCTCCCATTTTGTCCTGATGGCTGACTGACGTGAAGATGTCCAGCGTAGTTTCGTCCTTCAGTTGACTTTCTGTTCTGGGTGTTGAACTTCAACTCTGGTTGTTTGTCTATCACCAGCTTCTTTGAAGGCTTTCCACTTCATTTTGAAGGTAGGTTCCTTACACTAGATGGTGAGTGGTGTGAACCTACATCTGCTCCCCTTGTTGATCTGATCCTGTGTGTGTCCAGTAGGCTGCGTCTTCACTTTCTTCACATTGAAATGAAGTCGATCTGATTTTTGGTGTAGTGTGTTCTGGTGTCAGGTGAGATCGATGTCGCTCGCCTTGTGAATATCCTTATGTTTGTACACACTGTCTCGCCTCCAATCACTAAATCGTTGGAGTTGCAGAAGTTTGCAAACAGTTCTCCATTCTCATTCATCATTACACCGGGTGCCTCTACCCATGATGAGTTCTCTTCCCGTGTTGTCTGCTTCCAGTCTGGCATTCTTGTCACCCCACCCATTAGAATTTTGATGTCACCATCTGATGTGGGGTATTGTCTATTACTGATTGCAGTTGTCTGTAGAATCCCTCCTTCTTCTCTCAATCCGCATTAATATTAGTGGTTGCGTAGCACTGTATGATTGTAACTTTCTTTCTTTTCGAGTTGAATCTTGCTGTCATCATCCGGATCCTGATCGTGGTGGAGATTGGTTCCCACTGCATGAGAGTGAGCCTTCGATGCTCTTCAAGGGGACATCGTGATAGCCACTCCAGAACTCAGTGTGCTCGTGGTTGTCGTCTAGGTGACAATATCGGAGTGGATTATTGACTCCTCTCCAGTTGACAGTTTTGAGAGTCCACTTCCATTCCATCTGTTTTCGCGAATTCCTAGCACTTCAATTGCTTTACCTTCTCATCTCGTTTGCAATCTGGGCAGCCTTTCCAGCCAACCAGCTTCAAACATGGTGCGGACATTCCATGTCCCCACGTTTACTTTCGCTTTCATCGAGGGAGAGAAGACACATCGGCCTGGCTAATTGGCTTCCCGAAGGCAGACTTTCACTAACCGGCGTCATTTCGTCTCTCCGATTCCAGCGAGGAGTAATTTTGTTTTTATGTTTTATATTTTGTTTGTGGTTTGAAGTTTCTTTAGCGGTTGGATTTGTTTTCCAGGGGGAAGGGTTGCTAGCCATGCACCCAATCTTCTCTCTTTATCCGGGCTTAGGACGGGCTAGTAACTAGTGGATTATTTGAGGAGACGAGGTTATGTCCGGATTACACAAGTAAAATTATGCCTTCTACAATGAATCATACTAACTCGGTGCCCAAGTGTTTTCCAACCATCCGGTCCGCTGTTAGTCGGGATACCTTCAAATGTATTTAGCTATTTTATGCTCTGACGATTTCAGTATATCTGCCGGCTATCTTGCTACTTAGTGTCCAGGTGAATTGAACATATATAAGGGAGTACGGGTACGTTGTGTTTTTGGATTTTAGGCAATCTACGCATTTCTGGTGTGCCAGAACCTACTAGTTTAATTTGTTCGAAGGTGTCTGGCGCGATTGTTGTTAGGGTTGGCTCATCCCTAAGATAACTAATTTATGATATGTTTATATTATCATTGTAAAGTTTAAGACCTTTTTTCTCGAGCTTCTTGTCCCATGCTATGTTGCTTATTTTTTACCGCAGTTTAGAATACAAACACTGATTGGTCCATTTTACACTTTGAATATGCTATTTTGTTTTCTCTGGCCAAGGCCATCTAGGGATATATAAACGACTGAGTTTTAGCTTATTATTATTCGGTTGGAGCAAATAAACTTTCACCCCCATCTTCTTCTGGAGTCAGCTGAATATCGAGTTGAGAAGTCATTGTTCTTTTGTTAGTCGTGTCGTCTCGGAGCGTCAGATCGTTATCTATGGCGTTGGATCGTGACAGTTGTGCTACTGGTTAACAGTGTCATCAATGTTTTTAAAAATTCCATTTTTATTTTCTGAGTGTGATCTCTCCCGTTCACCAGCTTCTGAAAGTTCGTAGTATCTTCGAGGATGCTACTCATTTTATGGTTATAGTCGTCTTTATTCGAGAGTACGACTTCAGTTCCTTTGTCTGGTCTCGTTATAAGCATACTCTGGTTTCTGTTAGAGTAGTCGTGTACGTTACGGACATGAAGAAAACTGCCATACGCTAATGAGAAATAACTCAGATCGTTCACAGGTCAGAATTTGATGTTTATTCCGCTTCCACGAATTGTAAAAATTAACTACGATTTTTCACATGCACGTCGCTACCTTCTGGCAGACTTTAATCATGAAGATGCAGATGACT